CGATCGCACGCGATATGCCTGCTTTAGCGGCAAGAACACTCGCAAAAACCTTAGCTCTAGCTACTTCCAGGAGGGGAGCGCCCCGGCCGAAATACCGCACGTAAATGTCCATTCACATGCTCGGTTCCCGAGCTTGGTAATAACTAGCGCCACGCGCTGTTGCTCGTTCTGGAGCATGGCGGATGCCATAGCCATCTCGGCCTCTCCCACCCAGAGCAGGAGATTCTCTCCGACCTTACCCTCAAAGGTCTTAACGCTCACCACGAGCGGCCTGAGTCGGGAGGAGTCATCCGTCATCGACGGTGGCGTCATGAACGCAGTCGACGCCGTCAGCTTATGCTGTAGGAGCTCTAGCAGAGCATTTTTATAGCTCGAAAACGCCTCTTGGCGCGCGCTTATCGCTTCGGGTCCTTGGAAAGCAGGGTGTTGCACAACCTCCGCTCAGGGCCAAGAAAGGAATCAGCTCATTAAGCTTGTCCTGCATGCCCGGGGCAACAAGGAGTACTGCTTCATCCTCACAGAGGATCAGTCGTAACAACTCAAGCGTAGATTGACTACGAGTGCTACCAAGTGCAGCGGGACCGTCGTAACTCTTTGCTTAGAGGAAGCTAAGCTAAGGCCACCGACCTTACGTTCTATAATAGAACCAGTACGAGTGCAGCGGATCGCAATCCGCTACCTCCAAGATTATCCAAAACTTTAATCAAGGCAAATACAGTCTTCTTGAAATTGGATTTACCTCTTTTATTTGCGGCAGAACCGCCTATCGAAAACCTTAAGTTTTTCTACTTAAATAGAAAAACCTAACTGATACTGGCATTCCCGCCACGTAGTTGCTTCTTGTTGCGGTGTAACCACACCATTGTGTGATTACACCGACTTGTGTATTCCACATCTTTGTACGGTCACATCGACTCACCCACTCAATCATACAAGGGTACGTGTAACCCCGTTAAACACGATGAGTTAAGCTGCTCCACAGTTGACAGGCGAGGTTCTTTCCTCAATAAGCATGGCAAGGTCCATTGTCGATTGGACTGGCTTGTTTTGGTGGTCATACCGGTATCTGTCAAATGGAGAGGTTCCCTTACTCAAAGTATTCCTGAAGTGAAAGTGCTGACCGTAGTAAAATTGTTGGGGCGTTGTTGAGGCTATGACTGAACCCGTCATTTGCCTTCGTTTTCCCTAGATTGGCGCCAGAGTCGTGCGCAGCTCGCTAGGAAAATGGGTGTATTTTGGCCTAAAATGTTTAATTTTGCGACAGCTGTGAGATTTGAACTCACGCGGGTTTCCCCAATGGATTTCAAGTCCATCGCCTTAACCACTCGGC